ATTATCAATAAGTTATTTCCATGATTTTGGTATGGATCATACTGGCTTTCAATATTGTATCTTTGGCAGAAAATGTTACATCTTGTTTATGTGAGAATAACAAAAAACAAATCAAAAACTAGAAAAGCACTTGAGAGCGCAGACCTCCGCCAGGCAGCAAATTCTGCCTGTTATTCTGACCTACACTTAAAGCTAAAACTCTCACATGATCTGGATCATTATCAAATTGAATGAGGTGCACTTTGGTAACAATTTCCTTAAAGTCTTTTAAGTAAGTTTTAAGTAGGCTGTCAATGGTCACTGCTGCCACTCTGTTGGGGGGGTACTGCAAGTTATTCCAATTAATGTAAAATAATCCTTTTAGAAAAAGCCTGCATTTAGAATTATAATGTGGATCATCACCATAATTTAATGGATTGTTCCTTGGACTGAGGTGCACCTTTGATAAAAAGTTCATTACAATCCGTTGATAACTTTTAAAGTTATCCTGTACGCAGACCCACAAACAGACAAACACACAGACAAACCCGACTATTTATTACCTCCTTAGCAGAAGTAATAGTCAGTGACAAAACACAAATATCACCCATACTGTTGCTTTTGTTTTGCTTAAGTTAAATGCACTACAGTTTGGTGACATACATCACTCTGAGCCTACAATTGATATATATAATACATAAACAGCATGTCTTCCATATTTAGCCTGCAGAAGCATGGCAAGCATTTTAAAAGGAGAATATAACCACATTTAGGCAGCATAAAAACAGCAGGTCAAAGTAGCCCAATGTTACACTGACGTTTAAACTGCATTCTATCAGGTGTCTCAGCCATTGTGTCTTTGGGCAAAACACTACCTGCATTGCTTACTAATGGGGGGGCCCAGTCCTGCCTGTGTATGGCAGCGACGATTCTGTCAGTGTGCCCCAATGCAGCTGTGCCTACAATCTAACTTGCAACCATGTATGTGTGAATATGATTGACTGGGTGACTAACTGGATGTTGAAAATGTGATATAATTACAGGCTGTTTCGCTTTCACAATAACATTACATATAATATAACACTTAATATTCAAGCTTACAATGCACTGTTCTAACCACTTTGAAGTGAAGTTTGTTTTCGGTTTGATATTGGATTTTTTTCCACTCTCTGTATTCAGACACATCCTCCTCCTCCTGTTTAACCCGATGCAGGTGCAAAGGCTTTACCACCCCTTATCATGCATACTATTTACTAAGAGCTACTTGTGCACCAATACATAAGTCCTACTGGAGGCTGGTGATTCAAATTAGTTTAGCTATAGTTGCAATTGAAGAAGTACATACCAGCTTTACATCTATTACTTGTGAACACCACATCAAAATGCACAAAGCCGCCTGCATCAAACAAAGAATTATGCTTCAGTTTAATATGACACTTGATCATTCATTTATATTTTGACAATACAGTAACAAGATCAAGAAATATAGCTATGCAACAAAAACAAATTAAGAAAAAATATTCCAGTTTTTTCGTCTTAACAAAAAAGCAGTGCATAAATATACTTTACCACTATCGTTTCTTTAATTAAACTTGATTTTTTTGTTTGATGCCAAACCACTGCTTTAATAATTGTTCTACTTTTTGATTAATTTTAGAATGAATACAAGTATTGATAATACCACATGGGGGCAGTAATGGCAAGTATTATACATTATGTTGTAAGAACATTGAAAAATAAAACATCTTTGGACAAAAAATAGAATGAAAAATGAAACTGTCAAAAGTAATTGTCTCTAATTGACATTAAGTAAAGTCAGCTCTTTTGATCTCAAATTGAGAATCCCTGAATGCTACTGTTTCTATGTAAATGTTAGTCTTCATATGAGGGTAAAACCTTTGTTTAAATACACAATCTGGATGAGGTACAGTAAACTTTAGCTGACTTTTAGCTAAACCTACCATCACTCATCATAATGCTTCTGCAAATATGTACCTTATCTGTTAAAAACAGGGCAAGTTAAAAGCACCTGCAGAGAAATCTTCAACTTGTTAACTTCCACCAAAAGTAAACCTTGCTGATTTGACCCATGTAATGCTGATTAATGCTACAGTCAACTATTTACTGACCTGAACTGAACGTCTCTTCCCAAAAAGGCAAAATTTAACCCCAAAAAAATTCCTCCACTTGTAACAGGGAACCATAAACATGAAACATTTCAACATGAAAATGTATCTGAGTTAATGAAGCAGTAAGAGAGAGTTATACTTATTCAAAAGCATAACAGCATTTTCTTTTCACTACCAGTGCCAGCAGGACTAATTATTCTAAAATAATAGTAATAATCATATATCTCAAAATCTGTAGCACTGTGTATGTCACTTCAGCAGATAAGAATGTTTATTTTTTTACTTGGTCCATCTACATTTATAGATGAAGGTGAGCTGTTTTCCAAAATGAGTCATCTGGAAGGAATGGAAGTTCAAGTTTTAGACCAACTTCAAAGGCTAATGTCACCCAGAGCAGCCTTTAAGGATCAGATGATTCAAGAGGGAAAGAAAAGCTTATATGTTGGTTCGCTACTACCAAATAGAATACTGCAATCTTCAGTACTTTAAAGGAAAAAGTCAGACTAAGTTAGTTTCTAAAGGATATTAGAATAAAACAGATGGTTTCTGAGTATGACTTCTTACGTTCAGACTATAGATGGAAGCGCTTCCTCTCACTCTTAAACCTTTGAACTGCGGGGGGTGGACAATATCTAAACATCTGTGATGTGTTAAGTTTCATTCACTCACACTGACACAGAGGAAGCTCTGTATACCCTAGATAATCTAATTTTCCATCACGTTACATTTAGAAACTATGGACACTCATTTGTGCCAGGAAAGATATACACAGTTAAACACGTAACGTAAGACTATGCATAATACATTAGTATCAAAACGTCATAAAGATTTTTTGAGGGGGTTCTAAGTTTTTTAATCAGCCTGGGTTTGTTTAATTTAGTTGCAAATACCAGAAAGAAATTATTGATTGTAAATTGATAAATTGCTTATACTTCTTATAGGCCAAAGATTTAAGATGTTTTTGAGTGGGATTTATTTTGGTTCATATCAATAATTAGTTTTTTCAATGTTATAATGCATCAAATCTCATTAAAGAAGGAATAAAATTTATGGTTGTCTGAAATCTCAATTACAGTATAATGTTTTGGGGGGAAAACTAATATTCCATCTATTTAATGCCTATATGGTGATTATCTCTAGCCGTGATGGTGTAAGATGATGGGTAGACACTCGAGAGGTCAGCAGTATTGTTCCTTTTCTTGTGTTAAAGGATAATATGCTATTTTACATCTACTATAATTTTGCATGTTAAAAACATGTTACTGTTGTAACAAGGTGGACACGGCTTACCATCTCTTGAATGAGCAGAACAGTGGGGGCAAAGATTCGACATGTTTGCCTTCAAGATGCTGATCATCACAACTTGCAAAATACTGGAAGGAAGATATAAAACTGAGGCATTGCTTGGTGTTCTGCTCTCTTTATTCTGTTTAAAATTTAGGTGCCAAGTGAGAACCAAAAAAGTTTGCAGCAATTATAGCAGAAAGGGTCATTTTTTTCATTCAAGGAACTTCCTGCAACACTAATCTTTCATGCATCTGAAGGAATCATTCCAGTGCACTCACTGACGCATCTTCCAGAGTCCTTTATCTGGTAGGCTATACGCCTGCATTTATTTTATAGGTGGAGGTGTTATGACGCCTTGTTCTTGTCAGTGTTTACTTTTAATCCCAAACATCAGATCAAGTCAAAAAGTTGTTCAGAAAGAAGTCAATCTTTTAGGAAAGGAGATAATAATTTACTCTTGCAATAACTCAAGACACTCAAGCCCCTTCCAAGCCCGGATGATTTCTGAATAAAAGGTGAACCTTGTATTGTATTTTTGCACTTTACAATTAAATTATGTTACTGTCAGATACTTAATCTTCATCAAAACATTGACAATTTTTGGATGAAATGTGACAAAATGTTTTACTGTAAATGTTATTAGCAGAGCTCTTGCTTTGTCAACTGCCTGGCTTTCCAAACAAAACTGACAGCACAAAGTGAGAAAGCGTCAGACTGAAACATGGGAGTTTGTGATAGATGCCCAATAAAATATACAAGATGTTATCTAAGCATTCATTTTTTAGTTATGCATTTTGTGCAGGAGTTTTTTGACAAACTCTAATAAAATGAGCCCATTGTTAGCCATAGGGCTGAAACAATTAATCGGGATTGATCGATTATAATCGTCAACTAATTTAGTAATCAATTAACCAATTAACTGGAGTTTAAAGATGGTAAAATATGCCTTCAGGAGACAGATCAACCAACCCTTGAGCAGCAATTATTCCAAAATTGTAAAAGAAAAAAAAAGAAAAAAAAAAAAAATATATATATATATATAGAACTTTTACATTAAGATAAAAAAAAAGCTTTTTTCTTCTGTAAATATGTCCTATCCAGAACTCCTCAAGTGGAAATGTTGTAGTTGTACCTGACTTAATTTCGTAAAAAGTGTTCTTTAAGGAACCTTTGGTTACCTGATAATTCATCGATTAATTGAAAAAATAATTGACAGATCAATCGATTTGCAAAATAATCGTTAGTTGCAGACCTAGTTAGCCACATAGTCCAGCTATTTAATATGATGTCAAAGAAGTGAAAGGTTAGAAAGAAGCATTACAACATGTGCAATCCTCATTTAATTTCTTCAAGGTTATGAACACTCAGTTTGGAAAATATACAACTATTTAGAAACTTTAAAAAGAGAAGTATCATTTAAGATGCATACTTAATATCTAGTTCTATCTATATAATTTTAATTTCAACTAGGTTCAAAGTAAACAAACACCTGATTTTGGTAAATTGGATTAGTTTTGAAGCTGTTACAGCCTGTCTGTTAGATTAAACAGGGAGTGACCAAAAATGTTTGCTTAAGCAGCTGACCCTCCACTCTGATAGAAGTCCTGCACACTCTCCCTCCTCAGATATCTGTTTCTGCTCTGCTGTCTCCCTGACACACACACTCACACAGAGGGAGGCTGATAACTGTGATTCCGCTGCTGAATTTTTAACGCTGTTGTGGAACTTTTTTTTTTTCCAGTCGGGTTACTGTGGCACCGGGGTACTGTTACACAGACAGAGACGGGGAGACTGGGCTCAACTCTTTTCTGTTGTTTACTGAGGCTGCACTGACCCAGACTGTGCATGGAGTGTATGGTAGGTCCACATATTTATCTGCACCAATGCATGTTTTTTTCTGTAACATTTTAAATAGTTGATGTTTTAAGCAGTTAACTCTGTGATGTCTGACAAATAATAATACTTGTAACTATTCATTGTAAAACAATCACTAATATATCAGCACCCAATGTTAGTGAATATTGGCTTATGATATTTAATCTAAAGAGATAACAAAATCTACTTTTAGCCTGACTTATAAAGTGCATTTTCTCTTTAGATTTCTCTGTTTATATCTGTATATGTTTTGCTGCATGTTCCGATGGCTGTCATTTAATGAAAAAAAATTGGCATTAAGCAGGTTGATGAAAAATGTCTTGTTCATCTTACTAAGTTGTCAGGGTTATGCTATTGATCATAGCATAAAGAATATCAATAGCTTCAGTTCTGCTTTCAAGAGTTTTATGTTTCGTCTTTAACTTTGCCTGGTCTAATTGGTGTTTAATATCCCTGACTGCCATTTTTGGCATCTTGAAATGCCTGAATTATTTATCTAAGTAGGTTTGTTAAAGTGTTGCTGCTATTGTTTTCCATAGCAGTTGCATTGGAAAGTATTTCTATTTTACTTATAACATTTTGTCATTCTGCTTGCCTGTCAAGATATTGTTTTTTTTAGCCATTTTTAGCCATTAATGTTTTTTGAGGTAACGTTGAACTTATTTAAGTGTTTGATTTCCTATTGAAGTTAGTTTCACCTCAAACTGGCAAAAATGAACTGCTTGTTTATTTCAAGCCAAATTCCTACTGACATTCAGAAGGCTGGAAATATTTCAGTGCCAAAAAAAAGAAGGAGGGACTAAAGATGAAAAGCAGTTAAATGATAAATTCAAACTGACTTTACTTGACATCTAACCAGGCTGACAAACTGGGCAAGTTATGAGAAAAGGTAACCTGAATTATAAACCCACAAAACACAATCGAATTTTGTCGCTTATATTAGCCATTTATGTCTCAAATGAGGTTGTAACGGTTAGAACTGAGGCAATCTATGTCAAACTTGTCCCATTTGAAGTTAATATGTGTGATACAAAAACTAAAAAATTAACAATACAGGAAAATGCTACCCGCCATGCTTCATAGAGTTGCTAATGTAAAATTAACAAGGTTTGCTTGCTTAACATAGCTTTAAATCACAGTTCACAGTTTTATTTCCAAACTTTTTGTTGTTCATTTCACTATTTTACCTGCTCTGAGTCCCTTTTATCCTAATTTAACCAGGAAACGTTTCCAATTCCCCAAAGTTAGCCAACTATGACAGGTTTTCACTGCAGTTAGACTACTTGCTAAAACATAAACCAAACAACAAACCTGAAAAATTTGATCTTGACATAATGATATATATTTCCAAACCAGGTGAAACCAAGACAACATACATAAATGCAGTGGCAGGTGGTTCATATACCTAGGCCTTCAGCGGGCACCCTTCAACTTAATTTATGTCTCCAATGCATATGTCCGTACCTTGTACGGCATTTAATTTAAAATAACAAATTGTACGCCCTGTTTCTACCCAGGAAACTTTGCTCAACTGCTCAAAATGTCACAAGCAGCAGATGCTGAAGTTGGAAAAATTGAACTTTTGCTGCTTGACGTGTCATATCAACAAATCAGAGAAGCTGATCTGGGCACTGGCAGGGAGACAGACACAGCTGCTGCTGGAGATTCCCAGTTTTTTAATATTTTAAGGCAGGATTCTAATCTTAATGAACTGACTGCACAGACCATGTTTTGAGGTTGACTTTCTCACTTTAAAACATCTTAAAACTACTTTTTAACCCACTGATCACAGGAAATATAGCAAATGCCATTGAACACAGGAGCAGCAGAACGATCAGACGCATCTGTACACAGTTTACACACCTTAATGTATACATGCATAAAAAATGAAGCAGCAGGCACCTCTTTGCTGCTCAAATCTTGGTGTGAACCTCTAGCTCTACTTTATAACCACAGCTCGGCAACATTTACACTATCAGTAGCCGTTCAGATTCAAGATGCATCTAATTACCAGTTAAAATAGAACATAAAGCATCAGGGATGCTGATTATTTTTGAACAAAATACATACTTCTGTCTTTGTGCAGGAAGTCTTAGTATCTCTATTTAGTATAAGCCAGAAAAAAAATTAACAAAAGTGAATCTAAAATGCAGATCGTTGCTAGTTTAACTTAAATGTTAACATTTTGCTCTAACTGACCAATCAGAGGACAGAAAATCCTGACGTTAGGTTGAGGACACTTGCTGGCCCAGCGGGACAAATGTGAAATCTGATTGACTGAAGAAAACATTCATCACGAATGTTGTTAAGGTAACATCAGCAAACACTGGTGATTCTGAAGGCCCTGGGCAGATATGATTGACATGGCAACGCACTGAAATCTGATTGGACAAAAAATATAGCAACCACATAAAGCAATTGCAAGCAGTGCAGCTAAAAGAAATGCTACAAAATTAGGAGAATAGATTGTTTGGAATAAATTAAAACAGTCGGAAAGAAGAAAAAGTTTCGTTTGTGAACTTAGGTTAATGTTTATGATTTATTTTAGGCGAGCAGTGAATGCCTTGAAGGCCCTAACAGCCCACCACTGAATACATGTTTTCAGTAAATGGAGCAAGAGATTTATAGTAAAAAACTGAGACAAAAAAAAAGAAACTCAGAGAGTCTGTGGATTGATAGTAATACAAATGTTATGTTTTATTCAAATCTAGATCCATAATTTCTAACAAAGCATTCTCCAAAAAAATAATAATAATCCTCAAAACTCATTGTTTGTTTTCTTCTATTTACATCACCAACATAGTTCTGAAAGTCACAAAGCAAATTCATTTCTGAACAATGCAATATAATTATGATTAAAATGGAATAAGGAAGACAAAAAAAAAAGAATCACTTTAAAATAAGAAGCCAACACACTAGTTCCTCTTCCTGTTTGGATGTGACTCCATCCTGAAGAGAATTATCAGCTATGCTGCTGCCATCAACATCTTTGTTTATAGATGTTGGAGATCAGCCTATTTTTCAGTGTAGCCCTGTTTCTCTGACTGTGACTGGCTGGATGTGCTCCCTTCATCCTCTGACATAGGAGCTGGCTCGGAGCTTATCTGTCTGGCTGTGTGTTTCCTTGATGGAGCCGCCTGTGGAGCTGTTTGACAGTTTCCTTTTGTATCTCTGCTTCTGCCTCCCTGAGCCCCAGTCAGCCTCGGCAGATGCCCCCTCACACTGAGCCTGGTTTTGCAGGAGGTTTCTTCCTGTTAAAAAGGAGTTTTTCCTCTCCACTGTCGCTACAAACACACTTAGTGTGAGGGATTCCCTTCAAGTGAATGGGTCGATGTAATCAACTGGTTTTCCTTAGATAGAAAATTTTAACTCAATTTGACTGTATGATCTGATTAACTGTAAAGTGCCTTGAGATGACATGTGTTGGGGATTGGCGCTATATAAATAAACTGAATTGAATTGAACTAGTTAATTTCCTTCTTCAATTCATTAACCTGCATAACCAAACCAATGTTCATTTCACTGTTTTTCTGATCAATCCTAGATTTTAAGGTTGTTTTGAAATAAGTTTAAAGGTCTTTGGTACAATAAATATAATGACTTTTGTATTAAATATTACATTTGAATGACAGACACAGAAAAGTACTTTGAAAGGTGTTATATGGGGGCGACAGTGGCATCAGATGGAGGAGTTTGCCCTGAACTCGAAGGGTTGACAGTTTCATCCCCAGCTCCGGCTTTCAGTGTCATTGTGTCTTTGGGGAAGACACTTCATCCGCATTGTCTACTGATACCGTTCATTTGCCATCCTCAGTGATTTTTACCATATCAAATAAATATAAATAGTTATTTTTCTCTTACCTTTCCACCTACCTCTCACCCATCACCCTTTTATATATTGTGTTGGTATCTGTCACTAGATGTTTGATCTGATGCAAGTTCTACATCTTATGATTAAATTTTTTTTTTTATTACACAAATGTTATTCTGCTGGCTGGATGGACGGATGGATGGACGGAAGGATGGATGGATGGCGTCTCATGAAATTGAATCTAAACTAAGTGTCATATTTTTCTCCCAGTTCAACCCGGTCCTGATGCTGTTACCGTAACACTATGACCCTCAACACTCAGCGAGAGAAGGAGCCTCTGCGGCGCCGAGGTAGCACTCCAATTCCTCCGCTTTACCAGCAGCTAACTGGGACTTGGGACCTTCAAAGGTCTGTGAGCACACAGCCAGAGCGCCCTGCTCCAACTCGCAGCCACCCTCCTTTAGGGCAGTCAGCATCTTACCATCCCGGAGACAAGTCCCTCCATTACCGCGCACACTGGAGTTCTGACTCAGATGACGACTCCCAGAGTGAATCAGAGTGTGTTTACAGAGTGGTGTTGCTTGGCGACCACGGAGTCGGCAAGACCAGCCTTGCAGGAATCTTTGCCGGAATCACGGAGAAAGATGAACACCCTGGAGGTGGGATTCTGTTTGTGGAACCCTTCAATAAATTAGGTGTCAGTATACTTTCATGCTTTCCCCAGTCCTCTAATTTATTGCTGTTTCATTAAACAATATGTTCAATTTATTGCTCTGTGTAAACATGTCTCTGAACTCTGGTTTCCATCAGTCATGATGGGGTCCAAGGTTCTCAGCATTATTCACAGGAAATTAACCATAGAGGCCATGAAAACAATAAGCTGGTGTTTAGTTTGCAGAGCTGGGTGCATAGCTGTCTTGGTATCTTCTGGTGATTCCTACAATACATGATTGACTTGGAAATGTTTAGATCATGGCTTTATAGGGCCTCCAGAGCCTCTTGTTCTAGTGCAAACAACCATAAAAAAAACACCAAAAAATAAATTCTGTTAAACTGTTGAAAGTTTAAAGTGACAAACTATGAAGAGTAATAATAGACACAGGAAAAATTATTAAATTAAAGAAAAATAAATGAGCTGCCATCTTTAATCATTATTAATAACTGTTGGCCAGCAATAAAATTGCGAGCATGTGTCACTGCATAGTTGCACAGTATCTTTGACTTTGTTATGGCATGGTAACCTTGACAGGCCCGACAGTATTGATCTGCTCCTGTGTCACGTGACTTTGGGCCTCTGGCTATGATTGGGAACTCATATTGATCCATTGGTTGTCTGACACACAGTGGGGATAGGGTTGATGCATTTAGTTTTCAAATTGAATTACTTGCAGGTGTTATTTTTTGCATGCGTTCTTATGTACACCTTTATGGCTGTTTTGTTTCCTTCTTTGTTTCAACAGACAATATATTGACTGAGAGGTATTTTTGGGCCTTTGTTAGAGGAATTTTCAAATTTTGTTTTTTACGTTAGTTCACATTAAAGGTTCTTCAGTTTGGTTCAGACTAAGATATCTCAAAAAGTTTAATTCGTCAGTTTAAATAAGACCTTTTTACTTTGTCTCAGGTGACTTGAGTAATCAGAAAAATAAGTGGAATTAATTGAATTTTGGAAAAAAATCTTTTTTATCCTTAAATTATAAATAATACAATGATATCTGCTTACTGTGCAATAAAATTAATAATTTTTAGGATATTTAACCCGTTATGCTGACATAATAACCCAATTTCACCTGTAGTAATTATATTTTTGCAATGGCTTAGTTCTATAAGATTCAAGAACATTAAACATGTTCTTTATTGAGTTAACTGCTGTAAAAATCAATACAATGCAGTTCAAAGTATGGTGATGAAAACCTCTAAACAGTATTTGGTGATTTAATTCCCAAACTTTACTGTTCAAGATTTCAGGACAATTAAAGAATTATGAAATGCATTGGTGTTATTTTACAAGAATTCAGGTTAAAAAAGTGTTGTTTTTTTTATTTGCTTCTTAACCTATCAGGTAGTGATTAACTTTCAGTTGAAAGGGTAGAGAAAAGAAATTAGATTTACTTTACTGTGAAAAAATATGAAAAGAATCTATCTATTTTAAATGAAATGTCTGAAAATATTATATTGGTAACATTCAGTCATATAAAATAAGCTTAAACTGAAAAAACAATGTTTCTATTATTATGGAAGAAGAACTACACAGGAAATAAATAAATGAGTAGCATTAAATGCAGTATAAAAGGAAAATCTTGCTCCATGTATTTGATTGAATATTTCTCAATTAAAATAATTATTTTCCTTAAGATTTAGTTTGAATAAGATTTGATCAAAGGCTTAAAATCTCTCAATTATTGCAGTTATTTTAAGGCACCTGAAAAATGTTCTTCTAAACACTTGATAAAAAATAAATAAATACTCGTCAAATATGTATTTTGATACATTTGTGGCTCTAGAAGTAAATTTGGGTTTAAGTATACTTGTGTTTCAGGATTTTTTGTTGCATATAAAAGTGCAGCTTCATTTAATGATGCAGCTGCTTTCAGCATAGGCCCGCCACCTGCTGGTCCAGCAGTTTAAAAATGGAGAGCAAAGCCACTTCCACGTTGAAGCAAAACCAAAAATATAAATATTTACAATGTAAAAAAATTAAAAGTATCAAATAAAAACATAAGAACATATATTATATATATCTTTAAAAGGCCCTAGAACTTCTCATGTTCATAAATATGTTTTTTTGCTTTCCTTCCAGGGGACATATATGAGCGCACAATGACAGTGGATGGAGAGGAAACAACACTAATATTGATGGATACTTGGGAGAATGATAAATTGGTACGCTGATGGTGTTTGTTTGTGTTTATGTATACATATGCTCATATATGTTTGTGAAGATTAATTCATGACGACTGATTTTCACTGTATGCATTTCAGTAAGTTTAGTTCTGTTCAGGTAAAATATGAAGCATGTCAAACAAAATAATATATTTTAGGGGATCGTATACCTTCTATCAAAAGAAAATGTCACGCAAACTAATATTTAAGTTATTAAGTAAAATGATTTGCTTTTGTAATGCTAAAAACTATAAATGTCATGATCCTCAGTCTCAGATTAGAGTCTTTATTTAGTTCATACTTTTTACACTCTTTGTGCTGTTTGTTATGTTCTTTATTTTTTTCCATGTTCTCTTATTTTTTGCCATTTGGGTTTTGCTTTATCATTATTTTTTGATCACTACACCAGATGTTTTTCAGATTATTTTTTGTATATTCCTAAGTTTTAATAGTTAGTTTAATTGTTACTAGTTAGTGCTATTGCTTTATCAGGTAACCTTTCTCTATTATTGGATAGGTTCTGTTAGTTTCTTCCTCATTTTTCCCTGTTTTATCAGTTCCCCCAGCCATCAGGAAATCAGTTTATTACGCTCACCTTTTTCTGCTCATCTTGCCTGTTGCTTGCTACTCTTTATGTCTTTTTAATGCCATCAGTTTTCTGTCATTGTTTCACCACTTCTTTTTTTTTGTTTCCTGTCTTCATGTATGTATTCTGTTTTTCCTTAGGTCCCGAAGATCCAACCTTGACAATAACAAATTGTGTTGTTCTATATAAGATATAAGCTATGGTTAACATAGTGATAGCTAAATAAAACATCCCAGTCATTTAAGAAAACTGATGTACACTTCTGTAAATTATTTACCAACATGATTGTTATTATTTATCAAGTTTTTTTTAACAGAATTTAATTATATTGTGAAGGGGTAGTGCTATGATACTTGATTTATTTGGGTTGTAAAATAAAGTCCACTAGGTCTATTATTTAGCTCATGCCTCAGTTACATAGTAAACACTTTACATCACAATGATTACAGACTTATGCAGCAATCATTGGAGCCTTGCAGATGCATTTGGGCATGTGTTCATTTTCTAACTTTATGGTCCCCTCCAACAGGGGGCAATAACAATGTACTCAATTGTTAACAATTTGATCGATATCAAAACAAATAAAAATGTTGCAATTTTTTTCTGCCCGTGTAGTCCATGGCTCCAGCCAAATTGAGCAAATCATAGGGATGTTTTAATCAAAGCACAGGTGCTCCAGCGGTCGCCATGATAAGTGCTGTCCGAATTAGGCAGGGAGTAAGAAAGCAGGTAGGAAGAAGACGTAGGATGTTTACTATTGATAGTTAATGCTCCTATCTGCCACATAGGACATATACGATTGCCCACAATCCTTTGCCTGACAGGATATAAAGACACAGACCACCTATCGGAGTAAAAAAAAAAAATAATACACAATTTCGTGACACATGAAAATCTTTATATATGCTGGGCTTTATGATGGAGAGCTTCAACCTCCGACTAAATTTGTCTAACTTTTGTTTATTTCAGTTCTTTTCTGGAAGGCTGTAGTCCCAATTTGACAAGCATCAACCATGTGTGCTTCCGTCGCATTATGACATCAGTAAGGCTAAAGGCTGAATTCCTGAGCATTGACTTAATAGTGAATCGGAACCAGGACCAGGAGGAAGGAACAAAAATTTGTTTCAGAAGGAGCAGATGAGTGATAGATCTTTCAAGTGTTGGTAACAGCAAAACCTTTTTCCCTTTAACCGAACATTCTTATGTGCTCCTATGCTTATAAGTTATGGGCAAATAGGATTGTTGACCCTAAATTACTCAGTACATCAGAATATTGATAGAGCAATCTTTATTAGATTCTAAAATTATAAAATAATCCCACAAACTTCCAATTTCAGAGTTTTGATATTTTTCAAATAAGGAAACCAATATAGTTCATACACTGTGTGCAGAATTATTAGGCAAGTTGTATTTTTGAGGATTATTTTTATTATGTGGCCACAATTGTGTTCTCAATCAACCCGAAAGACTCCTTAATATCAAAGTTTCATATTTTTGAAAGTTGATGTGTTTTTTTTTTTAGATTTGGCCATTTTATTTTATGTTTTTTGTCTGTGTGTGCAGGTGTTTATTACTGTGCAGAATTATTAGGCAACGTAATAAAAACAAATACATACCCATCTCACTTGTTTATTTTCACCAGATAAACCAATATAACAACTCAAAATTCAGAAATCAAGATTTGCAACATTCAAAAACAAAAAACAAATCAGTGACCAATATATCCACCTTTCTTTACCATGATGCTCAAAAGCCTTCAATCTATAGATTCTGTCAGTGTCTTGATCTGTTTGCGATCCACATTGTGTGCAGCAGCCGCCACAGCCTCCCACACACTGTTCAGAGAGGTGGCCTGTTTTCCCTCCCTGCAGATCTCACATTTCATGAAGAACCACAGGTTCTCGATGGGGTTCAGATCAGGTGAACAAGTGGGCCATGTCAATTTTTTTTTTCTCCTTTTAGACTAATTCTGGCCAGCCACACTGTGGTGTATTTTAATGCATGAGACGGAGGATCATCCTGCATGAATATCATGTTTTTCTTGAATGATGGCAATTTCTCTTGTACCACTGTTTCAAGAAGGTGTCTGTCTTCCAGAAACTGGCAGTAGGTCTGGGAGTTGATCTTGACTCCATCATCAACCCAAAAAGGTCCCACAAGCTCATCTTTGATGATACCAGCCCATACCAGTACCCCACCTCCACCTTGCTGGCGTCTGAGTCGAGAAGGAACTTGCTGCCCTTTACTTTTCCAGCCTGGTGCCCATCAATCTGGCCCATCAAGACTCACTCTCATTTTATCAGACCAAAACACCTGCGAGAAATCAGTCTTGAAACAATCTTGACGTTTTGTCTTGTGTGTCTTATTCAAAGGTCGCCTTTATTCAGCTTTCCTTACCTTGGCCAGGTCCCTGAGTATTGAGCACTTTGTGCTTCTTGGCACTCCAGACATGTTGCAGCCCTGAAATATTGCACAACTAGTGGCTTCCTGTCAGCTTCACGCTTGATCCTTCTCAATTCATGGGGAGTTATTTTGCATCTTGTTTTTTCAACATGCTTCTTGCGCCCCTGTTGGCTATTTGCCATGAACCGCTTGATTTTGTGATGACGCTTGATTTTCTGCTTCAAAAGCTTGGCAATTTCCAAACTGCTGCACCCCTCTGAAAGACATCTGACAATTTCTCTTTTCTGACCCATTTTGCCAAAGGAAAGAAGTTGCCTAATAATTAGGCACACCTTATATAGGGTGTTGATGTCATTAGGCCACAACCCTTCTCATTACAGAGATGCACACCACTTGATTTACTTAATTGGTAGTTGGCTTTCAAGCCTACAGTATACAGCTTGGAGTAGGACAACATGTATGAAAGGGATGATGTGGTCGAAACACTCATTTGCCTAATAATTCTGCACACAGTGTATTTGTGGAGAAGCTAAGAAAAGTTTAAAACCTAAACCTTTAAACTTACAAAGAACAAATAAGGCTTTAACTACAGGTGGATGCTAAGTCTTTTTGCTGTGTTTTAAATTTGATTATAAACAGTTAATGAGTCTTCTTTTCTGTGTACTCAACTAGAAAAAGGGAGACCCAGCTTGTCATGATGACTGTCTAAAGGTGGGGAGTGCTTATGTTATTGTTTACTCCGTCACCGACCGTTCAAGTTTTGATTCAGCTGCTGAGCTCCGCATCACGCTAAGGCGAGCCCGACAAGCCGAGAATCTCCCCATCATTCTTGTAGGAAACAAGAGTGACTTGGTCCGGGCCAGAGAGGTCGCTGTGGAAGGTGGGTCAGTATTTCATAGCTGGAGAATGTAACTGTCTGAATGTTAAAAGGGGAATGACTTAAGACCATTTCATCGTATTTTAACGACTAAACACATTTCTTTCTTTTCTAGAGGGCCGAGCTTGTGCTGTGGTGTTTGACTGTAAATTCATTGAAACGTCGGCATCTCTGCAGCATAATGTGTCTGAGCTGTTTGAGGGGGTGGTGAGACAGATTCGTCTTCGTCGGGAAAGCACTGACGTAACAAGGCACAGAAACTCAATCTACAAACGCAAAGAGAGTCTAACACAGAAGGCTCGCCGTTTCTTGGATCGACTGGTGGCACGAAACAACCAGCGAATGGCAGTGAAAGTGCGCTCCAAGAGCTGCCACGACTTAGCTGTTCTTTAAGACTTCAGGACTGTTATTGTGACTTCTTGAACGGTTGTGATACTGCGTACTTTAGCTATGTATCACAATCAGTGGGTCAACCTCAAACAAAGCTTTCAGTACAAATGAAATGACCAAAGGTACTCACTGTGACTAGCTGGTTCCATTGTTTTACTGTCTTGTGTCAAAATCAGTGTCACTTTACCTGCAAATGGCTATAATTTGAAGAATTCAGATGGATGTAACAGACCGTAGTTGTATGGTTTAGCGTTGATATGAATGTCTGTAAATGTGTCAGTAAAGGTGATGTTATTCTTCATCATGGAGAACCTGATTTTCACTGTGTCCACTCTGTTGTTGTCTTGAGATATCTTGTATTTAGATCAGTATGCTAAATAAATGTTTAAAAGAACAATCATCAAATTTTTGTGGATGAAAACCTGTCTGCATTTATAAGTTTTTAAATAGTTTGGTCTTTATGGTACAGTTTTTTGTTTACAGGTTTTCTTTTTTTGGTTGACTAATTTCTTTCATCATATATCTATTTTTGGAACCTCTAATAATGTGCCTATATCCTCTAGTATGCTGAGTGTCTCCCCATAAAATTTCAAGTCAATTTAGTTTATTCATATAGTGATTTCTCAACACATGTCATATTAAGGTCTTTTTCAGAGACAATTCAGTCAGACCATACAGTCAGATTTTCTGTCAAGTTTTCTATCTAAGGAAAACCAGTTTATTGCATCAACGTATTGACTTTGCAGGACACTCTTTTCCTGGACGAGCATGTGGTGGTAGATATTCGATTGCGTTTTTTTTTGTTGACACTTCAGCAATCCCTCACTCAACTTTAACAGGAAGAAAGCAATCAAACCAGCTTCAGTGTAAGCAGTGATTTGCTAAGGCCAATGGGGACAGATGCAGGCTGATACCCCTTTCAAACTGTTTGTAAAACCTGTTAAAACCCACGAAGAATCAGTTTTTAGTGACAGTGGGAATAGCACACTGAGACGTGTCTACCTGGGTCAAATGACTCAGCAAGTGACTCATGTTAAAATCGCCTCGGCTGATCAGCATTCAGTGGGAATGCCAGACCGGCGTTGAAACACAAAATGACGTGATGACTTTGAACGGCATGAATGTACATCACAACATCGCTCCGGTCGCACGTTTAATAGCAAGCCTTAACAACTCTGCTTTTATTCGAAAAACATGGCACTGCTCTGGCAAGATAGAGAGATTTGTCAGCTCCTTATTATCTGCAGAAAAGAGGAGATTCGTTTACATTTACTGTAGTCTTCTGAGGACGGGCAACAGAACAAAATAATAAAGAATACTCACTATGCTCTGGCTCCGGTCCAGGTTGCTCTCTATTATTTACTTCCCAAATTTCCGTCGCACTGTCGAAATCAGCAACATTCACCCTGCTTGATGCTATCATCAGACACACAAAGGTGGGGGACAGTGGCTACGCAGCTTGCCAGCAGGGGTTTAGACCCTACTTTTCAGTCAAAATGGGAAAAGAGCCAAAAAACCAAGCAATAACGGGTCAACCCAGTTGTAAAAAACCTGGGTTTTCATTGTGTTAGCAGCTATACAGATGCTGATCCATCAGTCCTTTCTACATTAAAAAAGGTTAACTATCTCCACAGGAGGCTCTTTTTAGTGAAGAAACAGCTAGTAGATGAGGTCTAAGACAGTTTTTCTTGTCAAAAGGGAAAAAAAAGTGCACATGCTGTTAGTCACAGTAAAAGCTGTGTAAAATATAACTAATTATGGCTAAAAATGCCTGGTCCCTTTTTTTGGACCCAGTTCAGCCCTGTGTCCAGTATAAGCTCACTGCACAACAGACTGAGTACTTTTCTGTTTTCTATGGGTTGCTACCATATTCAGAGGTTGCTACAGAAAGGCATTACAACTTGCTCAAAACAATGTTTTCTCTACCCTTCTGACACACCTGGGATTAAAAGCCTGGTCCCACAAATTATAGTCAAAGACCTACGACTTAGGGGCCATAAGGACCATAGACTGAGGATATTTGTTTGTTTAATAACTCTTGTTGCCATTATAAAAAAAGGTATAATTATAATTTTTCACCCCATCAGCTTATCAATTTTTGTACAGTTTTTGTACAGATTTTCTTTTTTTTCTGTAAGCTGAAATATTTTATGCTAAAATGTACCGTATGTCGAGAAGGATTAACTAGACATATGTTGTGTGACAAACTAGAATCTTCTTACTACTATATAGTACTGAGAAGAAATAAGATACTGAATTTAGTTAATGTAATAAAGAAATAGGAGAGGAAAAGTTAGTGAAAACATTACTTTCCATTTTATCAGCATGTAAACGTGTCTAGTTACTGATGGTAGCTGAAATTGATTTGATTTTTATAAAAAGAAAAAGGTTTTTAAAAGTATGAAATTATTTATTTTATAGAGTTTTCTTTATAAGAATCTTCTGTTTAGGCATGTTTTGTTTTTCATTAGCTGAAGATCAAAAATTAGTTGTGAACTTAAAACAAACGCACTGTAAAATGTCCTGTATGTTTACTGTTGCCTTGGTAATTTGCTGCCTGCTAGCCAATCTCCGCTTGAAGTGGTTGTTTGCTGCGCGGTTGCTATGATAACACAGTCTAATGCAGACACCTCTATGCGGCTGAAATAAAACAGTCCAGATGGAGGGAGATTATCTTTGGGATTTCCCTACTCTAATTCTAAGTCTGCAAAAAGAAAAAAACTTTATCTAGTCATCTGTGCATCCATAGCCTGTAGGACATTTAGTGTCAACCATGACATTTAGTAAACCATATCTCCTAAGCTCCTTTTATAGGCAAGGAATAGGTTAGAATTTAGAGGATTTTTATTTATGATTTGTTTGAATGCAAAAATTACCATAAAAATTCCTGTTAAGGAAAATCAATGTTATGAGATTTGTGAAGCATCATTTTGTTGCATGAAGTTTGCATTGAATGCCCAGCATGCTCTGTTCCCTTTCCTGCATCCAATAAAACAAGTTCTAAATCAATTATTATGATAAATAGCTGCCAAATATCAACATCAGATGCAAGTGTTAAATCACGACATGCATTTATTTTCTTTTTTTTTTTATTCCCTCTTAAAATGAGTTTTCTTTGTTAACTTTATTCCATGATAGGTGAAATGTACTTTACTTGTGTGAAAGTAAATGCACCATTATTGGTGCAAAATAAATTAATGATTCTCTTTCTTCTCTTATTTTATACTTTAAAAACATCAATATTGAGATTATGTTATTTTGTAAATAAAGAATAACAATCTGAGAGATAATGTAATATGATTTCCAGTTTGTGGGCAAAACAAAGTGTCTGTGCCCGGGGCCACAGGAAAAGCTAGCACTGCCTCTGTTCTTACCTTTTATCTGAAATTATGTTCAGGGAATTTTGCAGCAGGTTTGTCCTCAATTTCCTTGTGTAGTAGAGAGCTCTTCAGAGTGTTGTTGTTGTCATTCAGCTCAGCTCCAGTTTGTCAGTTTTATCTTTCGGTGATTTCAAAAATGGGAAATTGGAATAGAAAAATTTGATAAAACTGACCTAAAGCTTTGTATACATGTTCTCCTGTTCTGTTTCTCAATGCAATCCTGTGTGATGGAAAGGAGACCTGTCCAGGATCTGGATTATCTAGCACAAAAAACCTGTAACGTTTGTGAATTACAAAATTAAATTGGTGATTGCATTGAAATAATTTGGTAACAGATCAAAGTTACAGCTCTTATTTACATTTATCAGAGCAATTTTATAGATTATTTCTGTTGTATAGCTTTGTTTAACTGTAACAGCTTTAATTATTTAGCCTGCAAATGTTCATGCTTTTATTGCCAAAGTACATAATTTAGACTATGTAAAATCTAAAAAGTATATAAAGTATATATACACTTTATATATATATATATATATATATATATATATATATATATATATATATATATATATATATATATATATATATAGTGTAAATTATGTAATTTAGACTATGTGAAGTCTATAATTGTTCATGTTTATATATATAAAAATGAACAATTTGTCAACAAGAAATCACTAATTGGTCATCTTCGATTTCAAGTAATTGAAAGACTGTTTTTCAGCAAACAAACTCTTTATCTAGGCTTATTGTGTTTTAGAAAGAAAACAAATAAAAAAATAAATAAATAAATAAGCAACTGTAGAATCACAATAATGACCAGAACTAATAACAATAAACTATAACACAAATAAAATATAAAAAAGCAACATAAGGATATCACAGTTTAGAGTAAGATGCACGTTTAAGAACCAGGATTTTGTTACGATATTTGGGACATGAATTGTTTGCTTTAAAAGGTAAGAACAAAACTTGGTGTGTGCTCAAACAATCAGCCGTCAGAGTTCTTTACCAGTCTCGTTTGCTCTCTGATCATGCAGCTTAGTCCAACTTCTCTTTTATACAGCAAATTTGAATAATAAATTGTCTATATTGGTCCACATTAGGTTGTGCAAAAATAACACCCTGGAAAGTATTCACCAGGTAACACTGTGACAGAGTTGCAACAATAGTTGTAATTTAACACGTATCAGGGTGGTTTAACTAACACTGGTGTAAAGTGTCAAACACAGTGGTTTTAATCATTCACTTATTCCTTCTGGCCATCTACACAGTAACCAGAGCTGATCTGGGGCTCACTGACTGTCAAGGCTGCAGTACTCAGACACCACCAATGCAGGAGAAGTGTCTTGCCCAAGACACAAGGACTAAGACAGACACAGCTGGAATTCAAATCACTCACCCTCTTGTTACAAGAAGAAGTTAAGTGTTATCTAACCATCCATTTTCCGTCATGCTTATCCCAGCTGGGGTTGCAAGAGGTGCTGGTGCCGATCTCCAGCTGTCAATGGGCGAGAGGCGGGGTACACCCTGAACAGGTCGACAGTCTATCGCATGGCAACATAGTGACACACAGGACAAACAACCATGCACACACACACGCACACCTAAGGAGAATTTAGAGAAGCCAGTTAATCTAACAGTTATGTTTTTGGACAGTGAGAGGAAGCCGGAGTACCCGGAGAGAAACCACACATGCACACGGAGAACATGCAAACTCCATGCAGAAAGACTCTGGGCCGGGAATCAAACCCGCAACCTTCTTGCTGCAAGTCAGCAGTGCTACCCACAGTCCTTTGCAGCCTAACTGTAGTTACTGAATGTGTTGTAGGAGTTCACAGGTAGAATGGAAATGTGGAAGAAGAGGCTTAAATTTAACTCCACAGATTAACACCAACTCTTTGGAGGAATGAACACGAAAGTGTTGAATCGACGC